TCAGTCTTTTTTTTTTTTTTTTTTAAAGATAAATATGTTAAGTACCTTATCAAATCTCATAGCAGAAGCATCCAATACATTTAGACATGCCAGAATTGAAATGATATGCATCAGTAGCTGGGTTGTCCAGAGGTAAACCATGGCTCACAATGCAGGATATTTAATTAGAATAATAGCCTGGATCTTTGGCTTTTGTGTTGGCATGAGTAGTTGGAGAGGTAGGTGTCTCTTGACATTTGTCTTAGTAAGTTCTGTCACAGTGATACCAGTCATGTATATAGTGGAGAGAAGAGAAGGCAAACAAGAGAAAGTAGGGGAGACTGCATTTTTAAAGACAGAATTTTGCATATTTTTCTAGTGAATGCTCCTGATAATATGTTGATATTATTTCAAAGAATAATATCTTTATCATAGCTATGATCTTTATCTTCCAGTATAAATAACAAGAAGAGAGAGCATTAGCTAATAATTTACACTGTTTTGTGGTGTGTGTATAGCATGAATCAAAACATATGGATGTAAACTGGTCAAAATGAGGCCTATTGTGCCTGGAGGCAGCCTTCCTTAGAGGGAAAAGAAGAATAGTTGGCTGTTACAATGATTTAATATGTTAGTATCCCATGACTGAAGATTGGTGAGTAGTTGGATGAATGTGGTAATCTCAAAACAGCCTTAGTAATCAGTGCTCTAAAGAGCTCTGCACTGGGATAATGTGTTACTGCAAGCCAGAATTGATGATAACTGGGTGGGGAAGTTTTGTGCAGCACCTGCCAGCAGCACATAACATGCTGAATGCACTCTCTACAATGGCTATGTTCCTCAGAAGGATAATCAAGATGCACATGGAATTTTTACAAACTAATCCAGGTCAGTCGATTCTGACTGGATTTCCTGAAATTCCTAGTTTTTAAAATTACACACTATTTAAAGACTTTTTCAGGATGCAGTGCTGAAGATGGCTTGTCCTGCATGCAGGGCATTATTATTGATTGATTGATTGATTGATTGATTGTTTGTTTGTTTATTTTAAACAGGCCCACTCCCTTCCAATCCCAAAGTGAGTGGACCACAGCCACGTAAGTCATTCATATGTCTGCCCTTTAAGTCTGAAACCATTGTCTAGCAATTGATCAATTAATAAAGAGAATTATCCTACAGCTTTTGAAGATAGAGTACTTGTTCTAAATTCTAGAGCAGAAAAGAATGGTCTGTGGCTGTCAGCAGTAGAGATATTCCCACTAATTTTGAGAGGGAGGAATTCAGCACGTGAGTAGAAATTAGTATGTGCAATTGCAGCTCTCCAGCATCCAAGAAAACCCACAGCTGTGATAAAATGTTGGACCAGTGACTTTCAGTCTTTGTGAGATCTTTTCTCAAAATGGGTATTAGAGATGGGAGGAAAAGAAAAATGATAGCAGACAGGTGAAAACACAAAGAGAAGACTGGAAAGTGAGGCTGGAAAAGGTAGGAGGGGGACAGAGCAGAATGGAAAGAGTCCTTTTCTTATCTGGGGTCTAGACAAGGCACTCAGGTTAGCCAGGAAATAGTAAATTATACTTCCTTCTGCCCTCTACCCCAAGCTTTCTGCAACTCTTGCTTGTTAGTAAACTCCCTCTTCAGAGGAGAAGATAATGCAGTTGTAAAAAACATAACTCAGTTTAATGGACAGTTATACTTCAGATATCAGCAAGAAACAGTTCAGAAAGGAATCCATGGCAGAAACAGGAGATAACCCCTCTGACCTGCTACCTGACTGCTCTTGCAATTGCAAATCTGCCTGTGCATGCTCAGAAAGGCATTGTGAAAAGCTCCCTCAGGGAGGTTACCAGATTTTCAGTTTTAAAAAAGAGGACATCTATCAGGGAGTGGAGTGGGTAATATGATTGCAGGGGGGAGTGATATGCCTGTGCCCTGCTCGTGCCCCTCACTCCTAAGCCATACCCCCCAGCCCTGCTGCTGCCCCTTACTCCCAGCCCACAGTACCCCATCCCCCAGTCTATGCTGGTACTCCTCACTGCCAACCTGCAGCCCCCTGGTCCCCACTGGTGCCCCTCACTCCTGACCTGTTATCCCCTGCCCTCCCAGCCTTGCCAGTGCCCTTCACTCCTGCCCCGCACCCGCCTGTTCCCCCTAGCCCTACAGTGTCTTCTAGCAGCCCTGCCCCTGCGAGCACAGGCACTGGCCCCAGTGCTGGTAGCCCAGTCACGTAGCTCTCTGCTACCCCCAAAGGGCCCCCCTGCCCCCTTTCTTTGCTGGAGGGGTAGATGCCTCCCCTGTCCTGCCACAGCTCCAGCTCCAATACCTGGAAACCGTGCTTCCCTCAGTGTTGGCACCCGCCCCCTCACATACCATCCTCTCCACACGCACACATGCAGTCCCCAAGCCCTGGCCCTCCAACCCCTGCCCCTCACAGACTTATCTGCATGCAGCTTCTGGGCCTGGTCCTACCAGCATGTGATGACCCTACCTCCAATCACCCTCTCCCTGCTCCCCCAAGTTCCAAGCAGCAACTTGCTAGGACAAACCAGGAAGGGGCAGGAAAAACTTCAATGCTGAGCAGAGCAGAATCCCAGACATTATTTGATATT